TGTGTGTGTGTCTTTCTTTTCCCATTCCTCTTTTATTGAAAGAGAAGCAATTGAGATTGAGCGACTGGACCGTCCTTTAGTGAGGACACCGAGACCCGTAGGAAGAGGTCCTGAAGCTGCCACTGCAGCCCTGTAGTCCGCTGGCCCCAGGGTCAGAGGGGCTGCTCCCTTCCGAGCGCCGGTGCCCTTCTTGGGGGCCCTGTCCCCTCTGTCCTGACGAGAATGCTCAGGCGCACAGGGTCCCATGGCCTCTGAGCCTGCGCTTCCTCTCCAGGCGGCTCCCTCCTCTTCCCCACTCGGCAGAAGGCCCAGCGGCCAGGCAGCACTCTGTGAGCTCTGCAGCAGGGTGCTGGAGAGGTCCCGGCAGCACTCTGTGAGCTCCGCAGCAGGGTGCTGGAGAGGTCCGCGCAGTGACAGCAGTAGCAACACGGCAGCCCCCCGATGTCCGCAGGGCTTGTGTTCCGAGACCCCAGTGGGGGCCCGAGAGTGCGATGAGTACCGAATCCTGCCTGTACTATGTGTTTTGCCCCTGCACACACGCATCTGTGATGAAGCTTAATTATAAATTAGGCACAGTTGAAAGGGGGAAGGGCATTCCAGGCTGAGTACAGAGTGAAGCGCAGAACTGCCGAAAGACCCAGCCATCAGAATGGCAAGTGGCTCCCGGCATATGAGTTCCTTCGGACCCTTGCAGAACGCGGGTTCGCATTGCGCAGGTCCACCTGTGCGCAGGTGTGTGTGTGTGTGTGTGTGTGTGTGTTTTAAGAAATACTTTAAATGCATTTTGACTTCCTTATAATTTTCTTAATAACATGTTCTTTTCTCTAGCTTATTTTGTTGTAGGAATGCAGTATATAAAACATGTAACAGGAAATATACATTCATTGACTGTTGATGTTAGCAGTGAGGCTGTTGGTAGTTCAGATTTGGGGGAGTCAAAAAGTTATGTGGATTTTCAACTGTGTGGGAGGCAGGTTCCCCTCATGCCCATGTTGTTCAAGGGTCAAGTGTGTGATCGTGGGTGTGAGCAAGGCCTTGTGAAGCATAACTTGGAGGCTAGCTATAAAGAAAACAATTGGTTACAAAAACACTTCAAAAACTGCCCTGGCCGGTTTGGCTCAGCGGTTAGAGCGTCGGCCTGCGGTCCGTCGAGACCGGGGTTCGGTTCCCGCTAAGGGCATGTACCTCGGTTGCAGTTTGTCCCCGGCCCTGGTTGGGTCGTGTGGGTGGCAGCCACTCGATGTGTCCCTTTCACATCGATGTTTCTCTCTCTCTCTCTCCCTCCTGCTCTGTCTGAACAAAGAATGAGAAAGTGTCCTCGGGTGAGGATAAAAAAAAAAAACAAAAACACTTCAAAAACTAATTTGCCAAAAAAAAATCATAAACAAGGTTAAAAGAATCTGTGTTGTGATATTTAACATGATTTAAAAATAATGTTGTCCTTAATATATAAACAGCATTTATGAATCAACAAAAACAGCCAACATTTCAGTAGAAAAAATGGATGCCACAAAGAAGCAGTTCACAAATGTTTAAATAAAAATAACCAAACTAATACAGCTCTGGCTGGTTTGGCTCAGCCGTTAGAACGTCGGCCTGCGGTCCAGAGAGGCCCGGGTTCGGTTCCCGCTAAGGGCACGTACCTCGGTTGCAGTTTGTCCCCGGCCCTGGTTGGGTCATGCAGGTGGCAGCCACTCGATGTGTCCCTTTCATGTCGATGTTTCTCTCTCTCCCTCCCACTCTGTCTGAACAAAAAATGGGAAAATGTCCTTGGGTGAGGATAAAAAAATAAAATAAAAATAACCAAACTAATATATATACATAGATGAAATAAAATGCAAATATCATAAATAAAAATGCAAATACCAGCCATGCAATGTTGTGGACAGAGGCTGACAGAATACCTGGCCTAGATCTGAGGAAGCAGGTGTTCTCGTACACAGTGTTCTTTACAGTGTGATGAACATTTGGAAAGAATGTAAATGCCTATCAGTAAGGCATTCAATCAACTGATAAATTGTGATAGCTGTGGATGGATTTCTGTGCAGCCATTGCGCAGGGTGAGTGTGGGCGGCAGGCTAGGACTCACAGGGCCAAATGTAGCCCAGGAACGGTTTCTGTTGATAAAGTTTTATTGGCACACAGCCACACCCTTTGATTGAGGCAGGTATTGTCCATGGCTGCCTTCGAGCTATAGTAGCATGGTGGAGTGATTGCGTAAAGATCAAATAGCCCAGAGGCCTGAAATTCTGTCTGTTCTGTTACAAAATGCTTTCTGACCTCTGATATGTGGGTTACATACATGGACATGGAAAACTCTCTCTAACATATTATTGAGTGATAAAAGCAGGGTACACAAATCACATGAATAGTAAGATCCCTGGTATATAAAACCACGTGGTAATGGGGGCAGGCACCTTTAAGGTTGTTTTTAGGAAAGATGTCTTAAATTAGATTCACCGACTGGACTAGGTGAGTTGTGAGATTTTAGGTGATTTTTATTTAACCTCTATATATTTTTCTGTAATTCCTACTTTTTTTGTAAAAAAGAATTTGCATAAGTCAAACGGGCAGGTGGCTGTTATCTTTGTAGTGTGGAGTTCAGGGTCTGTATCACTGCTTTTTCAGCAGCTGAAGACCCGTCACTCACAAAAGAGGAGGTGGAGCTACTGAGCAGACACCGGGAACCGCCAGCATCACAGGCAACGGAAGCTGAAATTGTTTTGTTTTTCTTTGTTAATTTTTTTCTTTACTGAGTTTAGAGAGAGGAAGGGAGAGGGAGAGGGAGAGATAGAAACATGGATGAGAGAGAACATCGATTGGCTGCCTCCTGCATGCCCCACACTGGGGATCGGGCCCACAACCTGGACTTGTGCCCTGACCAGGATTCGAACCAGCGACCTCTTGGTGCATGGGTCAACGTTCAACCTCTGAGCCACACCAGCCGGGCTGTTCTGTTTCTTTTTTTTTTTTTTTTGTATCCTCACCCGAGGACATTTTTGCATTTATCTTTAGATAGAGCAGGAGGGAGAGAGGGAGGAAGAGAGAGAGAAACATCAATGTGAGAGAGACACATTCAGTGGCTGCCACCCACACGACCCTATCCGGGGTCGGGGACAAACTGCAACCGAGGTATGTGCCCTTAGTGGAAACCAAACCCGGGTCTCTCTGGACCGTGGGCTGAAGCTCTAACTACTGAGACAAACCAGCCAGGGCCTGTTCTGTTTCTTAAGTTAAATTTTAGACCCATTTGGTCCTGGTTGATGGTTCATTGAAACTCTTTCGTGAATTCCTAGTGGCCTTAGAATTGCTATAATTTTGGGAAAGTGTATGGCAAAGTCTTAATAGCTTTCAGTATACACCTTGCACTTGAATACATCCACTGTATCTCACATTTGGAAATACACACTTCTAAGGAAATAACTGTCACTTTGGGGAAGACCATCTCCAGTGTGAAGTATTTTTGGATTTAAGGCTAAATGAAATTGAACATAAAATCCCACAAGTGTGACTTTCACTGCAGTGGCAAAACCTCCACCGGCAATCCTGGGTGCTGCTGAGGGTGAGTCCCTGCAGCACAGCCCCCTGGAGACCCGGTGCTCAGTTTCCTGTGGACTGCAGTGCGTGCTTAGAAGGCAACACCTCGCTTCCCCACCCCACCCCGTGTGTACTTACCCTTGAGAAATGAAAACATGTTCTCACAAACCCCTGTGTGTGGATGTTTACAGCAGTTCTTTTCATAATTGTGGGAAAACCAGAAATAATACAGATGCTTTTCGGGGGGTGAATAGGTGAACAAACTGTGGTACGCCCATAAAATGGAAAACTACTCAGTCATAAAAAGGAACATGCTTCAAGAGCCAGGACAGCTCGGGCGAATCTCAGAGGCACGGTGCCGAGTGCGAGGAGACAGTCCCAACGCTGACGCACTGTATGGTCCTGCTTATGTGGCCGTCTTGAAGAGACAGGATTAAAGGGACGGAGGGCAGATAAGTGGTTGCCAGCGTTGGGCATGGGGAGGGTGTAACTGCACAGGGATAGCACAGGGGGTGGGGGTGGGACTGTGCTGTGCCCAGTGGTGCCGCCGTTTGCACAGATCTATGCGTATATTATACTTCATGGAGCTGCACACCAAAAAACAGTCGGCTTTACTCTATGTTCATTTAAAAATAAAGTTAAATATGTGTAGGATAAAACTGAAAGATCATACTAAAAAATTACAGTGCTGTTTAAGATGATGGCATTATGGGCAACTTTGATTTCCCCAATTTTATAGGAATACATTAATTTTATAGTTAGAATAAAATACTTACACACGAACCTGTCCAAGAACTCTAAGGCTGCAGCGGTGTCTGACGTCTGGGGAGGGACTCGATGGCCCTTCGCTGCGGTCGTACCTGGAGGTGGTGTGCCCTGGGTTATCCGGGGCAGGTCACCTGCGCCTAGGAGTCTGTTTCTGAAATTAATGCAGTGTGCAATTTCCTTTAGAAAGTAGAAGTGATAATGGGAGTTTCGCTTCTTTAAAATGGCTCTTTCATCCAGAAAATGTACTTTTGTAGACTTCCCCCATTTGCCTTTGACGCCAAATAACCGAGATCGTGTCATAAGGCAATAATCACCCTGTGTAAACATGCATTATCTCATTTGTTCTACAAATCTGGGGAGATGCATGGGGCTCGTGTACATTCTTCTGTTTGCGGAGAGCAACACCAAGGTACCCGAACACTGGAGCGCAGGCCGTGTGGCTATAAAAATTCCATTTGCTCTAAGTGTTCTCCCCGGAGGCACGCTGTGCTTTTTCTGTGGCTTGCCAATAATGATATAAAAGGTAATGCTATCGTATTGTTTTCTGTTGAGAATTTCCTGGACATCATTAGAAATGAAATGAATGTTGTATGCCTTGGGAGGGAAAAAAAAAATGTATCTGTTTTCTCACTGAGAAAAATGCACAAGTGCTTGGACTGTAACGAGAGCCCCCTGTCATCTGTTTGCTTTTCCAGGATTTTGTATTGCACGCTGGTCATACCTATGATCTACCTCGAGCCTTTCTTCTCGTACATCTTCCTCAACCTGCAGCTCATGGTCCTGCAAGTCCTTCACCTTTACTGGGGCTACTTCATCCTGAAGATGCTCAGAAGATGTATATTCATGAAGGTAAGGGCTGGCCAGGTCGTGGCGTCCTGAGCAAGTAGACTTCAGTGCCAGGTGGGACATTCTAGTGAATTTAGAGTTAACCAGAATTTTTTAAAAATTAGATCACTATTAATATATTTTTTCTAATTTTAGCTAGATTTTTTTTTATTAAGTAGGTCTCTAAGGCATTTTTAAGAAATAACTTTTATTAGAGGACAGGTTAAATTATTTTTTTCCCATTTATTATTATTATTTTTTTAAGAGAGAGTAGAAGGGAGAGAGAGAGAGAGAGAAACATCGATGATGTGGGAGAGACACATTGATTGGTTGCCTCCCACACTTGTCCCAACTGGGGCCAGGAATCAAACCTGCAACCCAGGAGCATTCCCTTGTCAGGGAATTGAACCCGAGACCGTCAGTGGGAGGGCTGACTCTAGCCACTGAGCCACACCGGCCGGGCACTGAGTTCACTTTCACTCAGCTCTCTGATTGATTCATTTTCCTGCTGTATTCAGTAACTGTGTCTCAGTGATCACGACCATTGCTTTCTGCCGTGTCTTAACTTCGAGATCCAGGCAGAGGTGTAAGCAATTGGGCCACATCTGGATTGATCTCAAACCCAATCCTGAAAGTTAGTTTTTTTTGCAACTACATTACCGAACTGGAGCCTGTTTTTCTGAGAGCAGGCTCTCTCCGTTAAGGTTGGAGTGCCAAGAACAATTTTCATTGACTGGTTCTAGTTTATTAATATTCTAAATAGCTTGTCTGTGATCTCTGGCAAGGGTATTTGAGCTCTAAGTGACTGATGAAGTCGAAGTAACCGAGATAAGGATGAGAATTTGAGCTGTCAGACAAGTGTACGTCCAGGGGCTGGGGGGAAGGAGGGACGGCGGGCTGAACCTGTCTGAAGTTTGGGTCAAGCCTTCCGGGAGCGCCTGTCCCTTGGCAGAAACTGTTGCCTTATTAACTGACGACTGACAGTCGTCACAGGCCTGGGAGGGAGCCAGGCAGAACCGAACACGGAATCCAGAAGAAAGTCTTGTTTGGTGATTTTCATGTCTGATCTCTGGCGGGGGGGCACCAGGCCTAATTAAAAACCCAGCGGCCGGGAGCGTGGACAGAAGTCCTGGTTCCTCGTGCTGAGCCTTGGACGCGCTGTTTCCAGTCGGGAGCTGGCGGTGGCCGCGGAGGCCCGCCGCCCGTGGTCACAGCACCCGTGACTTCAGCGGGCGTGCTCGCGCTCTGTCCTCCGCAGGGTGGCAAGGCTGGCCGTGGTCACAGCACCCGTGACTTCAGCGGGCGTGCTCGCGCTCTGTCCTCCGCAGGGTGGCCGTGGGACCAGCTCACGCCACCAAAGCCGTAAAGCCACCACCTCCGAAAGCACACCATCTCACCACAGAGCCGCGTCCGTGGGGGGTGAGGGCGGGGGCGGTTGAAATTCTTAAGAGAAACACCTAACAAGTCCGTTTTCAATGCTACTTAATAAATATTCAGCATTTTAGCACACAACCTCGGGTGTTTGTCAGGTGTGTAATTCTTAGGTAGTTAATAAATGGCATTGCAGGAGCTGGTAGCCCCCTGAGATTACTTTGAAATCTTAGAACGGAGCTTGAGAATGTGTCCCTTTTACTTTTCTTCTGCCTGGTGGGCCCTCAGTAAGTGATTCTGAACCTGCAGACGAGTAAATGATCCGGGGAAGCAAACCGTGCTGTTTGGGGTGAGCAGTTGCACCATAATTTGTCCATCTTTTTATGGTCTCCACAAGTCTGCAGGGCTGACTGTAAAAGACAGACTGATTGCACTTCTTCACAGTGGTGTTTGGGACAGTCACACTTTTTTTTTTATTTTTTATCCTCACCCGAGGATATTTTTCCATTTTTTGTACAGACAGAGTGGGAGGGAGAGAGAGAGAGAGAGGGAGAGAGAAACATCGACGTGAAAGGGACACATTGAGTGGCTGCCACCCGCACGACCAACCAGGGCCGGGGACAAACTGCAACCGAGGTACATGCCCTTAGCGGGAACCGAACCCGGGTCTCTCCGGACCGCAGGCCGACGCTCTAACCGCTGAGCCAAACTGACGAGGGCTGGGACAGTCACATTTTGTTTTCCCTAAACAGTTGGGTCATCGCTTGCACATGGTGAGTGAGGACCTGCCGTTTGCTTCTGTTGTCAAATACCTTAAAATAACCACCTCACTGTCATTTCCAACGCCGGCTCCTGCCGACCGTGGTCAGCAGGCACCTTGCTGCCTGAGGACAAGACGGCCCTGGAACCTAACTGGTTCCCATGAAGCGCGACTATGCGGAGCCTCGGGAAGGGGTGACGAGCTCCTGTGCTCACCGGTCACTCTCTGCAAACGCGAAAGGGCTTCGGGGGGCTGGAGGGGCACAGCATGCTTTCATTACTGTTGCTCAAGAGAAACTGGATCATGCTGAAGCTTTTACTTTCTTCTCTGTAAATATCGTGCTGGGTGCTGGCCAACCCAAGCATGTCTCTGTGACATCTCAGGCTGGTGCGTGGCCAAGACCTGGAGGGAGGAGCCATACGTCAGGGTGGAGAAACTAGCCCTTGGCAACCTGCTCAGCCATCTGCTCTCGACACGCAGTGCCTCTTAGGTTCACAGAAGGACGCTGTCACACGCTGAACCGTTGTAGTTACAGAAAGGGACCCTGTGGTGAACCTGGGGTAACCGAGGCCCCCCGCAAATCCGCACAGTGATTTCACGGCACAGCCAAGACGGGAACCCGAGCCTCTTAATGTGCAATACTTCTCCTTTTCTAATTCTTCTTTTTTTTTTTTCAGTCCTGACCCGAGGATATTTTTCTATGTATCTTCAGATAGAGGGGGAGGGAGGGAGAGAGAAACATCGATGTGAGAGAGACACATCGCCTGGCTGCCTCTCACATGACCCCGACCGGGGCCAGGGACAGATCGCAACTGAGACCGAACCCGAAACTCTTTGGTTCGAGGGCTGGCGCTCTAACCGCTGAGCCGAACAGTAATTCGCATAATTGTTTGAATTATTCTTTTTTTTTTTATCCTCACCCGAGGACATTTTTACATTTTTTTGTTCAGACAGAGCGGGAGGGAGAGAGAGGAAGAGAGAGAGAGAGAAACATCGATGTGAAAGGGACACATCGAGTGGTTGCCACCCGCACGACCAACTAGGGCCAGGGACAAACTGCAACTGAGGTACATGCCCTTAGCAGGAACCGAACCCGGGTCTCTCTGTACCGCAGGCCAACGCTCTAACCGCTGAGCCAAACTGGCCAGGGCTGAATTATTCTTTATTCAAACAATTCTTTGAAATAGCCAGAAAATTAATTGAAAATAATTGTATGGCGTTTAAAAACAGTGAGTGCCTGAACAAATCCAATAATCAAGATCATACACGAAAATGGAGCGACAAACCCTTTTACTTATTTTTGGACTTTTTAAAAGCATAACGGAACGTTTTGTAGTTATTATTTTTTTTAGTCCCAGGGAACTTCCTAGTAAGCAGTTAGGGTGCTAGCTAAGAGTGCAGCTCCCCGCGGGTGCAGGTCTCAGGCCTCCCGGTGACGGGACGTGAGATCCGTCCGCTGCGTCAGCCTCCCCTCCGGTAAAACGGGGCTGGCGTCTCGGTACCTGCCGGGTCGGAGAGAGCCCTTGTCGCCTTGTCTGGCCCACAGGACACACGTCATAGTGTGGGCTGCCATTATCGTCCCCTCGAGCGCTCTGTGCCAAATCCCAGCGAAGCCTGTGGGCTCCCGTCGGCCCAGCTGGCTCCCAGTCCCGCCCTCCCTCCCTTCGCTTGGGCCATGCTGCAGCTGGTGTCAGGTGTCGGAGCCCTGCCCGGCAGCCAGGACAGCGTGCTGAGCTGTCTCCCAGTCACGTTCACGGCTCACACTCGGGATGGTCCTCTTTGCCACCCCGTCTCGGTCACCAGGGAAAAGAAATACCACATTTGTAACATGCAAGAAGCCTCCAGGGCTTCTTTGTCAGTGGGTGACAGGGGATGTAAAACCCGCCCTTACTGCAGAAGAAAGACATCCTAGAAAGACCCAGGCTGGTGGTTGCAAGAGAGCATTATAAAAATGCTACCACTTTCTATTTCCAGGTTAACCAGCTTACCCACCCTCACATTTGCAGAGAAGGAAGTGCCACAGGACTGGAAGGAGGGGTCACGTGCCCAATGGGGAGACAAGACTCAGAGCGAGAAGGGGGCCCCAAGGCCACGTGAATTGGGACTGGAATCCACGCAGTGACCTTGTCAGTAAATTCCCTTTTCTTCACAGGACAGCGTTAGCCCGGCACTACTTGACCCTGTCCAGGGTCTTCCCCAAGTTGTTGGAAATTCTCCCATTTGCTTTTCTAACGTGTTTATTTTCAGTGTTAGGACGGTGGTGGTCACATATTCTAAATGCCGCTGACGACACAGCCCATCTCTCCCACTCGTACCTCCAGGCAGACCGGCCTGCGGTGGGGAAAGGCCACCCCGGGGTGTTTCAATACGCACAGCAGGGTTCTGTTGGAGTTGCCTCCAGCCTGGCCTCGGGTCCGAGAGCGAGGCACGGGAAGCATCTGGGTGCCAGCGCCGGGTGCGGGCGGTGCCCGGGGAGGTTCCGCTGCAGGTGGCAAATGTCACGCCCCTGGCACTGCCTGCCCTTGAATTGCTTAATTAGGCAAATGCTTTTCCGTGCTTGACTCTGTCCCATTTTAGCTCCCCTCACGCGTGCTCTTGATGCCTCGTCTTGCGTATCTTCCTTCCCTGTGGGTTAAAGATACCGGCTCTTTGGAGGTGCTGGGCTGCCCAGGTCGTTGGATGGACACACCTGTCGTTGGAGCCTGTTGTAAAGGGAAAGGACTTGTGCAGCGGGAGCTGCCTGTGGGTGCTCAGACCCACCTTCCCTTCCTTGGTCCCAGGTGTTGACCCCGGTGTGCCCCCAGCCACTGGTCACGTCTTGTTGACGTTGAGGGGGGTGAGGGGTGGAGGGGGAGCCAAGGGAACAGGTGAGAGAAGCCGTGCCCTGATTGCA